CACGTGTGTTGATGAGATTAGAAACCTAACATCCCCGACACCAAGAACCTGAGACCCGCCAAGATGGTTGTGGACATAACAAGCAAGAAGAAGGAACCAGCGGGCTAAGTTTTATTTCAATAAAGGTTGCCAGGGGGCGTGAGAGAGGGCTGGGGGTGCATGCAGAGGCCCCTGTCTGCGCGCTCTGAACAGGGCCAGCACCTCCCCTTCCTCAGCGACCAATCTCAGAGACCCAAGCCCACCCTCGGCCCGGGCCAGCCACTCCCTCAGGTCAGAGCAGAGGTGCCCAGGTGGGTCTCAGAGACCACCATTGTCAGGGAGACAGCAGGGGTAGGGGGTTGCTGGATGCCAAGCAGTTCAACCGCGGCACCCTGAGTGGAACAAGACGCTCCGTGGTATTCATTCACCCACTTGTTCCCTGAGGCTGAAGCGGCTTGTGGAAACGTGCTTTCCTGGTGGGGCAGGAGCTCTGATACAGCAACGTAAAGCACATTGACACCCTCAGCGCCCACTTACATGTTCCTGGGCGGCTGCGACGGCGTTTTCGATGGCCTCCCGCGTCCTTTCTGTGGTGTGGACGGCGTGGACTCAGCTGTACTGCCTTCAGGGGATTCAGCTCTGCTGGGGGGCATGGGATGCAGGCTGGGTCACATGCGCGAGCATGCACGCACACACACATAAATCTCGTCACACAATGCTTGACGGCGCAGTGACTTCACCGGCAGAGATGTGCCAGGATCGTGGCTGAACACACACCTCTGCGACACGTGCGTGCGCGACACACACACACACACGCAGCGCACCTGTGCTGGGTTCTCTGGCGCTGAGAGTGGCTATACACACACCACCACCACCACCACCCGGGCTCACCTGTGCTGGGCTCTCCGGGCTGGCCGGTGCTGCTTGCTCTTGGACTTGGGCTCCACGTTCCCACTGGGCCTGTCGTCCTCGTCCTCCTCCTCGGCTGCGGAGAGTCCTGGTTTTTTTTTGCTGCCCTTTTTGGAAGTCTTTATGGGGGGCTCCTCCTTGGGGAGGCCCCCTGGCGGCTTGGGGGGCCGTCCGCGCCGGCCCTTCTTGGGCGGGCTGTTCTGCTCATCCTCGTTCTCCAGCAGGCCCTCCTTGAGCCGCTTCTCCTCGGGCCACGGCGACTCGTCTGGCTCGGAGGCCGGCAGGCCCCTCTTACGGCTGCGAGACCCGCCTTTGCCCTTGGCCTCGGGCACCAGCTTGCTCAGGTCATCGGCGCCCAGCTTCCCCTCCACGTCGGCAGCCGGAGTCTTCTTGCGGCTCCTGGGCTTCTCCAGCTCAGACTGTGGGGACAAAGAAGCAGGGCGGTGACAGCAGTGCAGGCCAGCGGCATGCCAGCCCCACCCTGCTTCTCAGCCTGACCTGGGCAGTGCCCTCACCTGGCTGAGCTTACTCCCAGGCTGCTCTTTAAAGGCCCGCTGCGTGGAGAGGGTAGGGCCTGTCTCAGAATTCCTCGAATGGAAATTGAGCTCTTAGGAGCAGCACGACTAACTGAGCAGAGAACCCTGCGCAGTCTGGTGCCCAGTCCTCCCGGGCCAAGCAAGCTGTAGGGCCAGTTTGCAAAGTCAATTCAAGCAACTCCGCCGCTGAGTGTGTGCCACAGATGTAAACTGTGGAGGGTGTGTCAGGTATAAACATGGCCCAATTCTGATATCAGCAGCAACAATCACTTCAGGGGGCACTACACAGAAGGCGCAGAGCTGGTCGACTCTGTGCTGCATGTGG